ATCTCAAATCCAAGCCTTATGATCAGCATCCAATAAAACATTATTATAGGTCAAGTCTTGATGAATCCACAGAGGAAAGCAATCATGATGCATAGAGGACAGTGCATCAGCCACTCCTCGAACCATATTTACCCATTTTTCCAAGGCAAACTTTGATGCTTTCTCATCATCATTGAAATTGTCTCAAGCTTCCTCTTTCGATGTCCTTGTACACCAAAAGAGAATTATTGACACCTAAATTTTGACTATTATATTTAACTATTTATCACATAATAAAATCAAGGTCGACCCTAATCCTTAAAAAATTGTCATTAACATAGTTTGCATTTACATTATAGGTACTAGGAACATTTTCATTTAGTCCACATAAATTGCATTTAAATCAATTCGGACATAAATTGCCTTGGTTTTAGCCCAAAGTGCAACATGGGGTTTAAGGAGGGAGCCCTAATCTTATTTAAATTCCCAAGGAAAAGCCCGCGAAATGAGGAGTTCAGCCAAGCCCAAATCCCTCTATTGTTTAGCCAAACCCCTAGGTGGTGCATTGTTTGGATAGGTTGCAACTTGTGATTGAAAAACCAAATGTGTGCCGGTGCTATAATTTAGGCAAATGGCGGAAAATGCAATTCAGTACAACTGTTAAAGAATCCATGGAGATTGCAAAGTTGATTCACTTGGATCTCACAGGTTATCTCAATTTCCTTTGAGAAAAAAATTGCAAATTTATGCTAACAAATGTGAACGGCTAGTCGAGAAGGAACTAGGTGTGTGTGCTTAGGCACAATTTTTATGTTGTTGTCATAATCGTGCGGTTGAGAGCTTGTTGGAAAAGGAGACTGGTAAGATGGTTAAACATATGTAGATTGGCAGTAGCATGGAGCTCTAATCAAAAATGTTAGACGAATTCTGCACGAAAGAAGTTATAGTGAGCACCAGAATAGTGTTGGTGAACCACAATAGATTTTAGGGTTGATGAGCAAAATATTACTAAAAACAACCCATAAAATGCTCTCTAATGTTGGTAGTGCTAGAACCTTCATGGCAGATGTGCTTAGTATAGCGAGCCACCTAGTGCATAGATTTCCATTAACTACAATTGGGTTTTGGACTCCCAAAAAAGTGTGGTCACGTAATGTTGCTAATTATTTTGTTTTGAAAATATTTGGCTTCCCGCATTATGTTCGAGTGAATGATGGTAAGCTGATGGGAGTGCAAAAAAAGTGCATATTCCTAGACTATGCACAAGATAAGCAAAGCCATTGATCGTATGTCGGGAATCAAATTTGCCTATAGTACTTCTAAGTATGAGTGTTTATGGCGATGTTTATATAGATCTAGTCGATATATATGCGAGTGTTTATGGCTTTGTTTGAGCGCATAAGGGAAATGCAATCAAAGTAGTGTTCCAAATTGAATAGGCTTTGTAATTTGAATCGGTTTCGAGTTTGAGTGGTGTCCTAGTTGGAGTAGGTTTCAAATTTGGTGTTTCCTATTTTAGATCCAATTCTATTTTATATAGGAAGTTCTTCATGAAGAGCATCCAAAAGGAGCTTGTGCTAGTGAATTACATCCCAGGGCTTTCGAAGCCATGAAAATCTTGTATTAAGATTTTGTGTAATTCTATACGATATTAAGAGATTATTTCACGAGGAATTGTAAAGTCTAAACATTGCATGAGTCATGGAATGTAATTGGAGGCTGAGAAACGCTAAGAGTGTTTGAGTGACTTGAGTATGATTATAATTTCCGTTGTATCGGTTAATCTATAGTGGAATATTGTATTGCTCTCCCTGTGAAACATGTCCAACTAACTGAATCATGTAAATCTAGTGTCAATTTATTTTTTCGTTTAGTTTACTTTATTATTCAATCGCTTATTTTCATAATAGTTCGAAAGCCTGTAACTTTATTGTATGATGCAGATTGGCGTGATTCTTGTGCCATTGGAAAGCTTGTGACGCTTAGTCGACAAATATACATCGAATCACATTTCGACATTGGGATTTTAGAGATGGGCCTTGCTATCTTTTGAAAAGTTTGGCAACCAAGTCCTGATTGGTCTTTGTAAAACTCAAAATGAAGACCTAGTAGTACTGTCCTAGTTCATTTTGAGTTAATCCTAGTTGACACTTAAATTTTAGCTCATTCATTAAGTACTTCATCACATGAGAAAATTAAGATCGAATTTGTTAATAGCGATACAATTTGACCCTTAAACAAAAATATCAATTTTGCATTTTTATATTCTTAATTGTATTTAGATACTAGTAACATTTAGGTTTAGGAGTAATGCATTTGCATCAAATGAAGCATGGACCTAGCTACGAATTTCACTCAAATAAACTCGATAGTCATCCCACCTCGCAAAATGAGCCCTAAACTCCTTTGTGCTTCTGAGGCCCAGCCTAGCGTGAGCCTGGCCCCCTTTAATGAACTCGGTCACGTTCCTTTCGGCTGCATATTGAAAGGGGGGCAACAAATGTTTTCTTTACAAGTGCTTGAGCTGAAGATCTCGGCCATTTAAGGGCAATATCACGGCTGAAAGTATGTCAAGAGGATATCGAAGGAATCTTGGGTACCAAAAAGGGAGAGAGCTCAGAAAATCCACAAGACAACTCGGAGAAGATGCACGCATGGATTCATTGGGTGACCGAAGAACATTCCAAAAAATTTAAAAGGGTAAAAATTACTAAATAACCTTAAACTATATCCACTATAACACATTTATCCTAAACTTTTTTTTTGTGACACATTTACCTTCCATCAAAGTTCTGCTGTTAAGAACGGTTAAAAATTTACCTACATGGATGCTGGAAAGCAAACTGTATTAATATGGCGCCCACATGACTTAAGTGAAATAAAAACGGCATTGTTTTATTATCTAATGGAATCTTGACGGAGGGTAAATGTCTCACGTAGATACAAGTTTATGATTATTGATGTTACAAGAAAAAGTTTAGGGTAAATGTGTCACGGCGGGCATAGTTTGGAGTTTTTGATGTCACAAAAAAAAAAGTTCAGGGTAAATGTGTCATAGTGACATAATTTGGTATTTTTTGTGGCTTTTTTTCAATTAAAAAATGGCACAAATTCACGGTAAGAGCAAAGAAAAATCAAAGAAAAGGGAAGACAATTGGATAAGCAAAGAGGTGGCTGGATGTTGAAGGATTTATGAGTTAATTTGAAAAGACCAAAAAGGGACAATAAAAGAAATTAACACTGAGGCCTTCAATTTTTTGCTTGTAGCAAGGGGAATCCCGTGATAGATTGGGACCCTTTTCTTGGCGACGTGGAATTCTCTTCAGGCAATTGAGGAATCACGAGATTAGAGGTGAAAGGTTGCTCGGTTAGCAGCCTGGAAGCGGTGAGCAATTTGAATTCTCTTCAAACAGTTCGGAATATTCATGCTGAGTGAAATATGAGGAAAAACAAAAAAAACAAAAAGTGGGGAAGTCCAGCGGAGAATCAAGGTGAAATTCCACCAATCAAGAGGGAATCATGGATAATCGAAAGAGGGTATATTTTCTTGTCTTTCATGCTCGAGGTTAACACCTATAAATAGGGGTCCACACAAGGACAAAACACACTTGTATACAAAAGGTGAGCACTGATCCAGGTAGACTCTGAAATCGGACCGACCTTATCCAACCGGCTCTAACATTGTTTCAAGGTCTATATGGTAGGCTCTAAATTTCAAAAAATGGTAATCGTTCCCAACAGGGTAAATTTCAAGTTCCAGATCTGGAATTTATCCATCATGAAACCGCTCAACCTCACTTGGTCAATGCTGGGCGATTGCTTTAACAACTAAGGGATAAGTTGGACAATTCCCAATTACTTTATATTTATGTTTGTTTTATACCGTACTTCTTGCTTTTTGTTGCTCTATTATTTTGCTATATCTGTTATTTGTCTCGGTTGTAAATTAGGGAATGTTTTACTAAAGTTTGTTCTTTCGAGGAATAAAAAAATGAAATAAAAAAAAAAGGAATTTGTTGGTTCTTGGGTAGATGCTAGAACTGGACTGGATCGATAGGCCAGTTTCAAGGTCAACAGTGTAGATTTTGTTGAGGTTATCCCATATCGGTTGTGGAAGGGGCTGGTGGTTGGTTTATAAGTACGAGGGAAAACCTCACTCTTTGACCTAGAACCTATTCTCTCTCTCTCTCTCCGATCCGCGAACTGCTCTCTCTTTCGCAAAGTTCACTCTCTCTTGTGGTTCAAGAGTGCACTGGTGACACTCTCTCTCTCTCTCTCTCTCTCTTTGACATTCTCACGGCAATCCGAGCTGTCCCCCGAGCATCACCATTGTCTGCAACCATCACTGTTGTTCAGCGAGCTTCCAGTGTCTTTGGCTCTACCACCCAGCGTTTGTCGTCGGCAAAAACACCGACCAAGGCATTGACGAGCACACATACTTTCACGTACTCACATTCTCCATTCAAAGGAAACCGTGCATAGTCAAGACAGAACGGACTCAGCACCAAACAAGCACCTTTCGAGCATTCTCTAGGTTCTTATGGCCATTGAATTTAAGAAGATCTGGTTTGGGTATAATTCTGATTACCCATTTAAATTGGTTGAGGATTGTCCGAAATGGAATAAAATCAAGGGTCATATGATTTTATATGCTTGCTGGAAATTTTGATTGGATTGTTAGTTAGAGTACAATTGGAAATTTTAATGCTCAGTCACAATTTAGTCCTAAACTTTTCAATTATGCTAATTTAGTCTCAAACACTACAAAAACAAGTTGGTTTTAGCGACGAATTTTGCCACAAAAAATTTGGCAAAATACGTCGCTAAACGAATTTGCGACGAAATTAGCGACAGAAAAAAATTCGTCGCTAATAGGCCGTCGCAAAATTTTGCGACGGAAAATTTCAATTTTCGTCGCTAATTATTCGTGGCAAAATTCGTGGCTAATTTGCGACGAAAAATAATTCGTCGCAAAATTCATCGCTAATTATTCGTGGCAAAATTCTTTCTCTTCCGCTTCATCCCACCTGAACTTCCGCTGCAAGCAATCAATAGAAAAACAAATGTACACTCAGTATGCTAAACCGAACTTAGTTTGTGAGAAAATAGAATGACAAAACTTACCCTGAACTCATTCCACCACAATTCCTTTACTTCTTTTGGAGCGGTGGTCCAACTACTATACTGCCCCATCCAACAGTTATTGATTATTTTATTAAGTCTCCTCACAACATACGTAGCATCCGTGAATCTGCAAACGGGTTATAACGATGTCAACATACGTAGCATCCGTGAAACATACGGACAATTCAATTGACATCCATAATAATTTACATATACTTAAAAAAATGAAGTACTTACGAATCTCCAAATGGGGATATCATGAATCGGTTATCTTCTTCATCATTCGAGTGTTGCATTGAAGAAGAAGGTGGAACCGAAGACGATGGAACTGAAGTAAATTCAGTTCGCATTTGATGGTCGGAGGAAGGGCCAATGTGTCCATGTACTGGTTGAGGGTTAGATGAAAGGGTAGGGGAAGAGGAAAGGGATGGGGACGAGGACAAGGAAGGGGAAGGGCCTAGTCTTCTTTGTGAAGCATCACCACGACGCATGTGACCTCCACGTTTATACTAACAAGTTGGAAGGTTAGACAAAAATGTAAAAAATTATGAACATTTATTAGGGACACATAATGACGTACGTCGTGAAGCTTACTATTTTGTTATTGAGAGCAAGAGAGAAACTTGGCCCTTGAAAAAAAAAGCAAGCTATCCGGAAATGTCTACGAGCTAAATTTCTGGTCGTACAACAGTTAAAAAGGGAGAACAACTCATCTAGCTGGTCAGGGTCATCAAAAGGATCATCCAGTATATATGTGTGCTTGATCCTGCTCAAAACAAAAGGAACCATACTGCAAATAAACAAAAGAGTGACACGTAGTAATTCAATGAGCAAGAGAGTGGAATGAGAACGAACCTAATGTTTTTATAGGGTCTCCCCTTCTCATCTACATAGTCTTCATTAATCCTAGTCAATGTCTCAGCATTTTCTGTTAATTGCTCTAATTCGACTTGTTTTAAAATTTGATTGCATGTTTTGAAAGCCTTAGAACTTAATTACACTTTCACAACAAATTTTATGATTTATGGTGCACATATCCCTTTAAAATGAATATATCAACTTCAAATTAATCAGTAAGCTTTGAACTAGTAATTATAAGGCTTTACCCCGAAGGGAGCCATTCCAGAAATTCTAGATGGCCAAGGCTTGAACCTAGGCCAAAGAAGGTTTGGAAATAGTTTTCAACCCGCATTAGACGCGCCTCAGTTAGTACCTCACTAGCTACATCATTTCCCCAAGCGCAAAGATGCTTAATCTTAGATGGAATCGTCGATTTTATACCACTACCTAGACCTTCCTTGTTCTTGGGAGACGGTGTGCGACGCTTGCCACGCCCCCTTATAAATGCACTAGTCAATTTTAAGATGACGGAAGTCATTTATCTTTCTCTTGTGTAATGTAGCACTTTTGTCTTTCTTTTGTTGTCCCCACAAATATAAATCACTTGCCCAGCACAATCAATAAGAAATATTTCAAATTTCAAAATATTAACTACACAAATTGTTGCTTATCAAGTGTCAATTTTTTTACCAAAAAAAAGTGTCAATTCGCCACAAAAGTCCTACTGGTTATGAACTCAATAATTTGATTCTTGAATCTCGCCCAGAAAGGGGAAAACAAAAACTTGTATTCTTGAAAAAAAATAATAGTATTATTAGTAGACTGATTTACAGCCCAACTTTTCCCGCAAGACATAATAAGAAGGAAATTTACAAATGGAAAATCAAAAATCAGATAAACAGAGCGAATACAATTCATCTCATTGATGACATGATCACATTCACACATCTTGAAACAAAGGCACTCATCACCCTCATGGATTTCTCGCCACATTAGAAATCAAAGAACCCTAAAAATTTTTTTATTGGTTTCAATATTCAAACCTAGATATAAATAAAATAATAATGAAACGACTCCGAAACGCAAAAAAAAACTAAAAATTCACGAAAAACACTGTTCACCAGAATAGTTTTTTGCTAAAAAAAACCCATCTAAACGACTCCGAAACACCAAAAAACAAATTGCGTCACGGCCAAAGGACGTGGTTTTGGATCAGCAGGCCGTTTCCACTTGACCGACCGAATTTCAGCTCATTTCGATCACATTTCACCTCATTCCGACCAAATTTCAAACGAATTTCAACCAAATTTCAACCCAAATCCGACCAAATTTCAGCTCATTCCGACCAAATTTCAACCTAAATCTGACCAAATTTCAACCTAAATCCGAGGAATTTGATTCTGTTTCGTGGGCGAAACAGAACCATTCTGTTTCGCCCACGAAACATAACCAAATTCGTGGGCAAAACAAAACCATTCTGTTTCGCCCACGAACAGAACCAAATTCGTGGGCGAAACAGACCCAATCTGTTTCGCCCAACGTCCAACAGCAGACCCAACACAATGGTTCTGTTGTCCAACAGCAGACCCAATGTCCAACAGCAAACCCAAGGTAAGTCGTCCAACAAATACAAAAGAACGCCAAGAAGCAGAAGCACAGAAGCAAAAGCAGAAGCAAAAACAGCAAACCCAACACAAACAACAGAAGCAGAAGCAGAAGCAAACGTCCACAAATAACGCCGAGAACTAGACCCAAGCAAACGTACCTCTCGCTTCCCAACAGAAGCAGACCCAACACTCTCGGACGACGATCCTCGCGCTGGGTGTCCTCGCTTCCCAGCGTCCGCCGCCGAATAACGCCGAGAATCGCGCCGAAGAACGCCAAAGATCGCCAAAGAAAGCCAAAGGTCGCCGAGAATCGTTTGACCGAGAGAGAGAAACAGAGACAGAGACAGAGAAGAGGGAGAAGTTCAAGAGAAGATTTGTTCGATCGTGACAGAGAAGAAAAGAAACCCTAAATTCTACCCGCACATGAAGACGACGCCGTTTTGTTAATTTCCGCCGAAATTTGCCACGGATTAAAATTCGTGGCAAATTAGTCACGGATACAAATTCGTGGCAAAATCCGTCGCAAATTAGCCACGAATTTTAATTTTGTCGCGGCAAATTCGAATCGAAATATAAAATTATCGCGGCAAACCCTAAAAAATGGAATTCGTGGCTAAATTCGTGGCAAATTTGCCACGGATTTAGCCACGAATTTTGTAAAAAATAATTTTTAGGCGCTTTTTAGACATTTTTTTACAATTCGTGGCTAAATCCGTGGCAAATTTGCCATGGATTTAGCCACGAATTCCATATTTTACTAGACTTTAATGAAATTCGTGGCTAAATCCGTGGCAAATTTGCGACAGATTTAGCCACGAATTTTAAAACAATGAATTTTAGGCGTTTTTGGACTTTTTTTAAAATTCGTGGCAAAATTCGTCGCAAATTTGCCACGGATTTTGTCACGAATTTAAAAAAAGCCCCCAAAATACCTTTTTTATGAAATTCGTGGCAAAATCCGTGGCAAATTTGCCACGAATTTAAAAAAAGCCCCCAAAATTCGTTTTTTATGAAATTTGTGGCTAAATCCGTGGCAAATTTGCCACGGATTTAGCCACGAATTTCATAAACTGCCCAGAGTTCATTTATTTGAATTTGCCACGGATTTAGCCACGAATTTTAAAAAAAGCCCACACACGCGCTTAAGTAATTTTTTTATGAAATACGTGGCAAATTTCCAACGGATTTTGCCACAAATTTTAAAAAAAATGCCCACACACATGCCTACGTAATTATTTATATGAAATTCGTGGCAAAATTCGTGGCAAATTTGCCACGGATTTTGCCACGAATTTCATAAAAATGCCCACAATTCATTTTTTTTGAAATTTGTGGCTAAATCCGTCACAAATTTGCCACGGATTTAGCCACGAATTTTAAAAAAAATACCCACACACATGCCTAAGTAATTTTTTTATGAAATTCGTGGCAAGTTTGCCACGGATTTTGCCACGAATTTCATAAAATGCCCACAATTCATGACTAAATCCGTGGCAAATTTGCCACGGATTTCATAAAAATGCCCACACACACGCCTAAGTAATATTGTTTATGAAATTCGTGGCAAAATCCGTGACAAATTTGCCACGGATTTTGCCACGAATTTAAAAAAAGCCCCCAAAATTCGTTTTTTATGAAATCCGTGGCAAATTTGCCACGGATTTTGCCACGAATTTGAAAGAAATGCCCGCAATTATTTTTTATGAAATTTGCCACGGATTTTGCCACGAATTTAAAAAAAGCCCCCAAAATTCGTTTTCTATGAAATGCGTGGCAAAATCCGTGGCAAATTTGCCACGGATTTTGCCACGAATTTAAAAAAAGCCCCCAAAATTCGTTTTTTATGAAATTCGTGGCAAAATCCGTGGCAAATTTGCCACGGATTTTTATAAAGCCCCCAAAATTCGTTTTTTTTTAATTCGTGGCAAATTTGCCACGAATTTTTAAAAAATGCCCGCAATTATTTTTTATGAAATTTGTGGCAAAATCCGTGGCAAAGTTGCCACGGATTTTGCCACGAATTTCATAAAAAAACGAATTTTGGGGGCTTTTTTAAACTCCGTGGCAAATTTGCCATGGATTTTGCCACGAATTTCAAAAAAATGAATTGTTGGCATTTTGCCACGGATTTTGCCACAAATTTCATAAAAAATGAATTGTGGGCATTTTTTTATGAAATTCGTGGCTAAATACGTGGGAAATTTGCCACGGATTTAGCCACGAATTTCATTTCTACTAGCCCACACACGCATAATTCATTTTTTCTCCCGACAATAACGTTTCATTAACAATATTAGCAATAATAATAATCAACAATAACAACAACAACAACAACAACAACAATAATAATAATAATAACAACAACAACAACAACAATGCTAATAATTACAACAACAACAATAATAATAAATATGACAACAACAATAAACTCTTGTCATAATAATAATAATAATAATTACGACATAATTAGTAAAAAGTCTCAAAAATCTAAATCTTCATCTTCACCTTCGTCTTCATCACGATCTTCATCTTCTTCTTGAGCATCATCGTCGTCATCATCATCATCATCATCCTCATCATCCTCTGTCTCAAAATCAGATTCTGCAACACCTTCTAAATTTGATTCGCGAATTTCAGTTAGATCTACATCTATCATTGCTCCATATGGATCTCATAGAGTAGGAATGTTATATTTCTTAGTTTGAACCGCGTTACAAACTTCCTCTTGTTGATATGCTGTATCCTTCCGGTGTTCCTCGATTTTTCTTCGTGCTTTGGTTTTACAAACAGCCCATCAATCAGCTTTGTCACGTTTTAAACTAAGATATGATGCATAATATACTTGAATTGCTTGTTGTGCCAACATAAATGGTTCATATTTCATATACCTTTTCTTGTGATTTATTTCAATCAAATTAAACTTCGTATGCACCTTCATTCCTTTGACGGGGTCGAACCACATGCACTTAAATAACACAACCCGCATTAATGATCCGGGGTACTCTATCTCCATGATTTCATCCAACAAGCCATAAAAATCATCTTTTGAACTACCACCATTGGATGACCGAGCACACACACCACTATTCATTGTAGCTTTTCCCATTTCATATTATTGAGTGTGAAAATTATACCCATTTATGAAATATGCTGACCAAGTTCGTATGCTTGACTTTGGACCCCATGACAGATAATATAGCAATCCTTGCTCTTCAACTTGATCATGATTACTGTGAGCCTAAGGTCATACACGCAAAGTCAATAATATATATTTAAATGATGTATAAAATATTAATAACTTGGTTTTGGTCTATAGGCAACTTACATATGTTTTGAACCATGCTGCAAATTGTTCATCGCACAAACGGTCAAACTCATTTGGTGGTAGTCTATACATTGAATTTTGAAAAATCCTATTAACAATTTACATTTATATATTAGTAAATATTTGACACGCAATACATATATTTGCAAATATACACTTACTCGAAGTATGGCTCCACTTTTGGACAGTTCAGTAAAATATATGTATGGGATGCCTGCCGTTCTTCGTCTGTTAAGCAACGAAACTTACATGCGCCGCTTGGTCGACCGAGATAATTGAAAATAGAGAATGATTTGCAATTGGGATCAAATGAGACCCTCATCATTTCTTCCTGCTCTCCGCCTCTTGCACTGCACGTGCGGCTTAAAATAGTATGACGCAAATGTTGTCACTTCTTCCACAATATATGCATTACAAATTGAAGCTTCAACACATGCCTTATTCTTCACTTTTTTCTTCAAATGATATAAGAACCTAGTTGCAATAGAAAGAAGTTTATCGGAACATAATATATAATAAAGTTTGTGGTATTTATTTTGAAAAAATTTTTACCTCTCAAATGGATACATCCATCGAAATTGGACGGGACCTGCAACTTTGGCCTCATAAGGCAAGTGAACTAAAAGATGCTCCATTGAATCAAAAAACGATGGAGGAAATATCATTTCTAAGTTGCAAAGAATAATTGGAATGTCTCTCTCCATTTTCTCCATGTGTGATGCTTTTAACACTGTTGAGCAAATATCATGAAGGAAATTACTTAACTCTGTAATGGCGCCCCATACAAAGTTTGGTAGAAGTTCGTTGAAAGCTATTGGAATTAGTCTTTCCATAAATATGTGACAATCATGACTCTTTAATCCTGTCAACTTACATTCATTCAAATCAACACATCTCCCGATGTTCGAAGCATATCCATCAGGAAACCGCACAGATTTCAACCATTGACAAACGACTCGTCTCTGCTCCTTATCTAATATATAAACTGCTTTTGGTTTTGGTCCCCTGCTGCTTGCATCCACATCTAATGTTGGCCGATCACAATTATCTCTCATATCTTTTCTTGCATTCAAGTTGTCTTTTATTTTTCCCGTGACATCCATCACAGTATTTATGACATTGTCGAAAACATTCTTTTCAATGTGCATGACGTCAAGATTATGATGAATAAGATGGGCCTTCCAATATGGTAGATCCCAAAATATACTGCGTTTAGTCCACTTATGTGTACTTCTGTACACAATAGTTGTGCCATGAGGGTTTTCAACAACAGTTGGAAAGTCCTGCACTCGCTCCCAAATTTGATCACCGGTCAACTTCAATGGTGAAGGTGTTCTTTCAATCCTATTCTTGATAAACTCTTTTTTATTCCTTCTGAATGTATGATTCGTCGGCAAAAATTGTCTGTGACAATCAAAATAGCTGGGCTTCTTACCATGTCTTAATCTGAATGACTTCGATCTCTCCAAACATATCGGACATCCTAAGATCCCAGCTGTACTCCATCCAGATAACATTCCATAAACTGGAAAGTCATTTATCGTCCAAAGAAGAGCAGCCTTCATTACAAATGTTTGATTAGTAGAAACATCATACGTAACGACACATTCATTCCATAGCCGTTGAAACTTTTCAATCAATGATTGCATATAAACATCTATCAACTTTTTCGAATTTTGCGGGCCAGTCACGATTAATGTCAAAAACATATAAGGTGTCTTCATGCACATACCGGGTGGAAGATTATACGGAGTTAAGATAACTGGCCAACATGAATAACTTTTCCCTGATTTTCCAAATGGGGCAAATCCATCAGCACAGAGACCTAACCTGATATTTCGAGGCTCTATCGCAAACTCAGAGTATGTTCTATCAAA